ATTCAATCAAGCCAAGTGGTTAGGCCACTCACTTGGACCTGGGAGTCCCGGGTTCAAACTGCTCCACCGCCGCCCGTTTTCCCAGGCATTCTATGTATGACCGCGGCCACCCTTCCTGAATGTTGACTGTGCATTTGTGTATTCATTAAATAAAAATGGAAGTGAAAGGACACTTATTTATGGGGATTCCCTTTTCACCAATGTTTCTCTCCATGAAGCAGTTGATTTATTATGTCATTCTATTTCTTTTGGTAATTTTTCCCTTCTATCCATCTTGTATTATTATTATTATCATTATTATTATTATTATTTACTCACGCAAGTCTAAATCCAGACTATGTGCCGAACAAATGGTACAATGATCTTCATAAATAGAAGAATGCGCCGTGATTGGCTTGTGGACTGAATACTGTCAGATTGCCCAGGACAAGGCAGGTGAATTTTCTTGAGGAATACACAACCGGAACCTTTTTCTAGCCAGAGCGTGGCCCGCATGGCAGCAGGGTGGTTTGCGAAAAACGCAATCCATTGGGGCCGGTGTCCAGTTCATCTGATCCTACGACCTTCGGACGGCGTCGAACGTCCTCGGTGCCCAATACACCTCGATGCCCAATTAGCCGGTGACCATTACTACAAACGGGAAGGTGTGTGTATGGTTCGTCGGCCTCTTCTTGGTTGGTTGTTTATTCAATGAATAAAAAAAGAAGTATAAAGACATTTTAGATGGTCAATGTCTGGGGATGCTGGTGTACCACTTCGAACCGTGTGTCCATGATTCCTCTTGCATGAATCCATGAGGCCCAATTGTACCGGGTGGGAGGGGAGGGGCAGTTCCCTTAAAGCAAGGGTGAGCACAAAAGTTGCTGAGCAAACGGATATATTCAAACTCTTGGTGAAGTCATCCACATTAGTGTATTTCCGGAAGATATAATAGTTGTGTGAAACCGAGCCATCGGTTTCTGATACCGTCCCAGCTGGATTCAGTATTGCTCTTTGACGTTCCTCGTGGCCCACATAACAGAAGCAGTCGGTTCGCTTGTCTTGCCTCACCATTCACATGCTGGTATCTAAGTATTCCATGTTCTTGTCATACTCTTGGGAAAAAATGATATCTTGGTAACTCAAAATAAACCTTCCGCACTCAAGTCAAGTCAAGTAGCCGCTTTAATTNATTCGCTCCATAGGGGATGAATATTCAGCTACTGCACAATAACCATTGATATTGACATGCTGACAAGAGTTCATCACATCAGTATGCTGATCAACCTTCAGCAAAGGAAATAAGACATCTTGGGACTTGGAATGATTCTACAATCGTGTTGTGAAGACCAGTCGGTGAGCAATGAAATATTCCGCATAAGTTTGGGGTACACAGAGGAATTCGAAAACCTCATGCCATGCACAACATCATCGGCATACTTGATGAGCAAACAATCATCAAAAGCGGGCATGGAAGAATTATAGGTTGTAAACAAGAAGGGAGAGAGAATAACACCTTGAAGAACTTGAGTGGAGGGTGTGTGTGTGTGTGTGGAGATGTTTGGGCCTGTCAACGCAATTAAAGGCTTCATTATAATAAAAGAACCAGATCCGAACAGCTTTACATTTTCTGTCCAAGGAGGAAGAAACCTAAAGAATAAGGGATGCCAACGCATCGATGGTTGATCTGAAACTGCGATAGGTGCATTCAGCTGGGACAACATCTGTAGTAAAGGCTTTTCCAGGACTTTCAAACCAACAGAAGTGCAAGCAATCGGGTGAAATTTAGACATTCCCTTTTTGGGTACTGCATCAGTCCGGAATGCAATGCTGAAAAAAGTACATGTCTGATATACATGCAAAACAGTTGAAACTTTCCTGATGTCTTTGGATAAACATATCATTTTTACCGTAGATCTACGTGGTTGACATCTTTGTCAACAGTGTACCAAACTCATACCTCACTTGGTTTGCCATTCGCTGAAATTCCTTATATCAAATCTACCATCAGCTATGAAGGCATTTTCGTGCTAGTTTTTGTCGCAGTGGGACTCCTCTGGATCCAGTTGGAAGCACCGGACTCAAATGGCACCGTGGTGGTGAGTTGCTCACGAGGTTATCGCGTTTTATCTATTTCCACGCCTTCGATAGGTTTGCATTCGAAACACAGTGGTGATACCGTGTTCAGTGTCCGCAATATGAGACAGTAATCCTTGAATAAACGCTAAGGTATATTCAAGTGAGACCAACTGTTATCTGTAGGCAATCTGACCGTGCAGTATGCCTAGCACTCTCAGTTCATCTCATTACTTGTGTCTTCTATTATCTTTATTTTATCGAAATTTTCTCTTTTCTTTTCCAGATGTGGAATATAAACACACTTTCGGAATCCGACCACGATAAAGTTGTTTGCAATTTATCAGACAATACTGCCACTCCGGGCGATCGGTTGACGATGCAAAATTTTCGCCAGTCCATACTATTCGTATCCTTTGATTTGAATCTGGCCTGAATGAGCAGGATTCTCCGGGGTCTTCGTGAATCGCTTTTTTTCTCTATGCACATCAGTTTTTTGACATATAGTTTGTTTGCGCATGGAAAATTGAAAACAGTCGTGTAATCATTATGCAGTCATATTTCATTTGTGATAGAAATTATTCAGATTTACACATGCTCCATTATCACTGATATTCGAGTACCGTTTTGATTCTTCTTTGTGATGAATTCCCATGTTGTGGCATTATTTTCCGTGTAGATGTTTTTGTTAATCTCATGACCCTCGTCCTACGGGAATTATTTCCTTTGAATGTTAATCTCTTTTTGTTGAAGAACGAACTTTTTATGCTATCTTGAACCAGCATGTTACATCCTTAATGTAGTAGATATTTCTATTGGTGATCTCCTTCTTCGGGACTGGAAATATCGCAAGTGTAAACAGGTGAGTTTTTCGGGAGAACGTTAATGCGTCCCGTTTTCGGAATCCCGTCCGTATTGTGAATAATGCGCTGAAGGTCCTTAGTTTTTCGCAAATAGATGTCGATCACCTCTCACATGTTTTCACACACGTCTAACGCCAGACTGTACCAAACAAATCATGGTACAATAATCTCTATCAAAAAGAAATAAGTTCCATGATTTGTATGTGGACCGAATACTGCCAGGTTGCCCAAGCCAAGGCAGATGAGTTTTCTTGAGGAATCCACAACCGGAGCCTTTTTCTAGCCAAAGCCTGACCCGCAAGGCAGAGGGATGGTGTGTGAAAACCGCAATCCATTGGGGCCGGTGTCCAGTTCATCTGATCCTACGACCTTCGGACGGCGTCGAACGTCCTCGGTGCCCAATACACCTCGATGCCCAATTAGCCGGTGACCACTACTACAAACGGGAAGATGTGTGTGGTTCTTACGCCTCCTTGTGGTTTGTTTGGAACCAGGGTTTCTGACCAACTCTTCTGGGTGAACTAGCAGTAGTCCATCAATCCGGATGTCTGCTTTTCGTCCTCTCACTCTGGTGGGAAACCACCTCCACTACGAGAAGGCAATGGACTGCTGAGGCTATTCGAGATGCTTGGTCATCTGGGAGCATTTCACTCGAGGTGCAAGGGAAGGGTGACCAGCCGCAACCCTAGACACCCACCTTCGACCATAGTGAGGCTTTTGGAGGCCCACCTTTTATAGAATATCCGATTGTGCAAACATGTCGAGATTGCGCTGCACCCGTTCAGATGCTACTTGTGAGCACGTAGAACGTGAACAGTCGGGTTTCAAACGAGAGGGTGCAATTATTGGGGGCTTCTTGATACCCACACAAAGGCTTTCAATTTGACGAAGTAGACTGTTCATAGTGTTCTCTTTCGTCCACCTCCATTTCATAGCAATGGGAGAATAATCATTTTAAGACGCAATCCTCTGGTGCAATCCCACCCGCCCAATCTTGAACATTTCCTTACTCCTAAGACTCAGTATAGATCACCAACTCTTGTAGGTATACTATAGGTCCTCGTGACTGTAAGCTGTACCTCAGCTACCATTGATCACGCTGTAGTATGTCCTGTAAAGGGCTTGTAATGTTCCACGAACGCGAGTTTTGACGTGTTATATGATCTCAGTGTATGTCATGTGATTTTTTTGTGTTCGCAAGCGGAACAAGATTGAATATGCAAGTGGTCTGGGTGGTGAGAATGATCAGGTGTTATCTTTTCGTTTATTACGTAGTTTAAATTCATGCGTTGACTTTCACGCAACCTAATTTAGTCAGGCCTTATCAGTATCTCACTTGTCCCATAGAGAACCACTGTAACAAATGTCGACGTCGTTGTAAACTGCAGTGTCTGTTGGTGTTTCTTTCGGACGAGTAACATAACTCCGTGATCTGTCATTTTGTCCCAGCTTCGCTTGAAAATCCAGACGTCTCATCGTCGATCTAGGTGACATTGTGGATGAGCGCTAATGAGTTTCTATTTCATTTTATAAGTTGATGAGTAATATGGAGACACTTGGCGTTATCCAATTGGTTTAGCTAAGTTACGGCCTCAAGGTGACTGGACGGCGGACACCATCGGGCCTGATCGATCAGGGGCTATGGAAGTTGGAGTGACCGAACCAAACGCTTCTGGGCGCAGAGGTCAAGGGTCAACTTTCTTATCCGGATCGCTTCGGCCATTGCTAGAGTGCGCAGTTGAACACCCCTGCACTTGATGTGGGGGACACGATATTTAACTTTAAAGGCGACCTCTGGATTTACTTGATGTCCGGTGTTGACTAAATGGGCTAGGATGGAGCTGTTTATTGATCCCATTTGTCCTAGTTTTAACCCACGTGGGTGATGCTCTTTGATCCGAGTAGATAGCTGTCGTGCCGTTCGACCGACACACACGCATCTGAAAGCGTATAGATGAGATAAGCATCGAAATTTTATCTTTATTTTGAGTGAGGATCATAGGAGTACCTCGAAACGCATCGTAGCTTTGCAGTGTTGAAGGCATTTCCAATATGTCTATTCAATCGGCGAAGTATGATCTCTCTCACGGTGTCGCCTTTGAATGGGAAACTGATGAACAAATCTTTCTTTCTCACAGTTTGCATGGAAGTTTTTCTTATTTGTTGAATCAGATTCATTGCGATGAAACGATCCGGGTAGCCATTCTCATATAAGGTGTTTCTAATGAGCGTCAGTTTATCATTCAACATCTCCTCAGAGCAGATTGCCCTCGCCCTAGTGGCCAACCATTTTACTAAGTTTCGTTTCTGTTGAATGCTAACGAAACTATTGAAATTGGTGTACTGGCCAGTCCATGTCGGTTTTCGGTACATCTTTTGTAGGATCCGACTATTTTCCATTCTGCTAAGAGAAACATCCAAAAACGATAACTGGTTGTTCGTTTGTGAAACGTGTCTCTTTGTGCGCATTATTAATTTCCAGTAACACGGATGTTAAGTTGCAGCTAGTATCAGTCACGCAGAATATGTCGTCCACATATCGGTAGTAATGTTCAAAACTATCGATCGCCGACTTCGGCTTAGTTCTTTCCAGTTTTGCGAGGAAGGCGTCGGTAAGTAGTGGACCCAGTGGTGATCCCTTGGCCACACCGTCTTGTTGTCTATACAGGGTTTGATTGAATAGGAACTTGATATTGAGTGTACAACGAAGCCGGAGTTCGCGCAAACCGTGCGGTGGTAAGCCAATATTAAGGTTGTTTTTTCAGTGTAATTCACTAAGAAGTCGATGGTTTCTACTAGTGGTACATTCGTGAACAAAGACTCGATGTCTAGTGAAAAAAGTGTTTCGTCCTTCAGATTAGCACCCTTTATCCGATGTATGAAATCAAACTGTGTATGACCATAGGTTGTTTGACTGTTATTTAATCGGTTGACTCTATTCACCTTTTTCCGATAAAAAATACCGTGAACACTACTTGTCTGATGGCTTGATGATGATCTATCAGTCTGGTGTTGCTGTTTGTTGTTTCGTGCTATACGAACTGCTTTCTTTGCGCTGCTCAATCCTTTCGTTGCATACGGACGTAGAGTCGATCGATTTGCACTTCAAGCATTCAAGTTGTCCACCCGGCTCACACCAAGAGAATTTCTGGAGGCTTGATTTTTACGGGAATACTCGGTCAACCGGCACGTCGACCTCGATCCAGTCTACACTCGTATGCAAAAAACGGACGAATCAGCGCAACGAAAGCGCCCATGTCACACAACCCAACAGATTTATGGTAACACTAGACTGACAGAGTAGCGTCAAGTCATAGGACTACTGATATCCACCGTATCTTTTATCGGCAAAAGCGAATAAAATCAACGAATTAGATAAAACCACGTTTCTCTACAGCACTCATCGATCGGTTCAACGTCAGCAAACGTGATTTCTGGTTTCTTACGTCCCATTCAATTCTCTTGTCAACACTCACACCGTCATTCAGGTTCGATTTGTACATCCATTAGCCATGCACTATTGTGCGCCGGTTTTGGTTGCTGTCCTTTGGTTAAACATTAGGAGAAAGACCGGAAGGGTTGAAAATAGGATCAAAGAGAAAATTGAGAATTTCAGTGGACTAATGTTGCAGATAAATTGACAAGATGCACGAACTCCGCTGCTTACGACAATCAGTCTATAACCATCCGGTACGATCATCCCGAGGTCCCCATCTAGGGAGCCTAACTGGACCATGTTACCGAGTACCTTGGTTAGGGTTTTCATGCCCTCATGCCAGATCTTAGCTTGACCGCCCTAGGCTATAGTCCATCCACTACCTGCTTCGGCGAACATCGTTCGCCGTGGCAAGCTATTTGGTGACATGCGTGACACATTCCCCAACCAACGTAATCTATAGCGGCCGACCACTTCCTCCAGTGGTTGACCGCGGTTGCCTAAAACTTTGTGCCTTACCTCGGAACTGCTCGTCCCGCTGCCCCACCAGATTCGTGCAATGTTGCGTAGACAGCGGTGTTCAAATGTCGACAGTGTATCTTTATTCTGGTTCCTAATGGCTAAGTTTC